GGGCCGTTGGGGAGAGCAGGCGGAGGCCGACGGCTGCCCCAGCTCGGGCACGGCTGGTGCCGCAGCCGGGACAGGACAGAGCCCCACGGTGGGAAGGGCTCGGCTGCGCCTCTCCCCAGCCGGACCTGCCGGCATCCTCCACCCCGCAGAGCCAGCGCCGCGCACCCTGCGCCGGGGGCTCCTCGGCTGCTCCCTGCTCCTGCCCCGGCCGCCGCGGGAAGCTGCCGCTGTGCCGTGAGCTGCCGGGGCTCTCCTCCGCTCCGCAGTCGGCGGGCAGACTGCATTCATGGCTGTCCCCCTTGGCCTGTCACCTGCAAGGCTACAGGACGTTTGTCCGTGCTGCCCCGAGCTCGCTCTGGGAAGCCGGGGCTGGGGATGGGACTTGCACTTGCTGAGGTCGCAGCACGGTGCGTCGCGGTGCCGCCGAGCACGGCCGCAGGCTGGCCCCATCCCAGCGCTGCCCGGGAGGTGCTGCCATCTGCACTGTGCTTTGGGCTCATCCAAGCCGGGCCAGGCTGTCACGATGGCTTGTCCTTGCAGCCTGGCCATGGCCCATGGCTGGTGGCCACATTCCCCCCCAGGTCCCCAAGCCCTGCAGAGATGGGACCAGGATTGTGGGAGACATCAGTGAGTGCCAGGAGGAGACGGGGCTGAGCATTAGCAAGCCCCTGGCAGGCTGCGTCTCTGGGAGCAGCCAAGCTGACCCCTGCCCAGGCTGTCCCATGACTGACCAGGTTACCTGGAGGGATGAATTTTGGCACAATGAGTGAGAGCATCCCGAGCTGGAGGACAGTCAGGCGTGGAGGCCAGGCAGCGTCAGGCAGAGCGTCCGTGCAGGCTGAGCCATGGGCAGGATGCCTGGAGTTGCTGCGTGGAGAGCAGTGACCTGGCCAGAGCTCCCTGTAGGTCCCAGGCACTGCACAGGGAGCCTGGATGACTAATTGCCATTGTCACCCAACCTAATTAGGAGGCTGGCCACAGCCAGCTGGAAACTGTAGGTGTTAATTCTTTCTGGTGGGACCAGTGCCCTGCCTGGAGGGGCTCCTGTACCCCAGCCTGTCCAGGGCAGCTCCTCGCCCCAGGTGCCCACAGAGGCCCTGCCTGCCCTGATGCTAAGCCCAGTCCTCACCCCCCTGCCCCGCACGGGCGGCTGCTTCCCATCGGCAGCGTGCACAGCACCCGGGCGCTGGCTGCCGAGACCCCCCCTTGCAGGGCCGAGCTCTGGGCCCTGCGCGCTGGGGGGGCACAGCGAGGCTCTTTGTAGGGACAGGCGGGGTGGGTGCCCGGGTGCTGCTCTCCGGGGGTGCTGGGCAGCCGCGGTGCCTCCCCGCGCCGTGCAGGGTGTTCAGGCTGCCCCAGCGAGGCTGCACGGCAGCGAGAGGGAGCGGAGCTCAGTGCCTGGGTGACAGGTTTACAAATCACCATTGCTGTGTGAAGAGGGAGCTTGGCTGCCTCGGCATTCATCCCCGTGCTAATTACTGCCTCCCGGAGGAACCCGATCCATCTTGCTGTAATTGACAAAGGCAATTAAAAAGCAGTTGTGAATAAAGGGGGACATCTCTGGAGGGCCTGGCAGGAGAGATTTAGGTGCTTTGCTCCTTGGTGCCTTGGACACATTCCAGTGATGTGTCTGGGCAGTGATGCTCAGGGCAGCCGTGCCTCTCCTGCCCTGCTCCCGGCTCAGCCCCGAGGGACGGGTGCTCTGCCTGGCTCCCAGCCCAGCCCTCCGCTCGCCCGCATCTCCTCCTGCCCTGCCAGCTGTGGGACTGTCTGCTTACCCCACGCCTGACCACCGGACAGACCCGGAGACCCGGCCAGCCACGTGCTCTGTGGCCAACTTCCCACGGGCAGGGACCGGGGCAGGAGCAGCAGAGCCTGCACCCGTGTGGGGCCAAAGCCAGCGCCCAGCAGAGAGCCCATCCCAGGGGCTCCCCTTCATCCTGCACTGGGATAAGCCCCAGAGCTGGGAAAGCCCCAGCATATTCCCCCACTGGGAGCTGCAGGGCACACAGGGAACATGGGGAGAGGAGGGCAGAGCCGTGCTGGGAGCAGCACTGTGCCTGCCACGGGAGTGCCACAGCCCCGCTGCCAGCGCTGCCACAAAGCGTGGCCTTGCGGGAGACAAAGGGCAATCAGCAGCGAGAGGCACGGAGCTGGGTGTGAAGAGCAGCTGATTGAGGAAGAGACGCGCCAGGTGCCTCTTGTGCAAAGCAATCTCCTGATTGTGGAGAGCAGCCGGTGCGGGCGCTGCCAGCTCACCTGCGGAGATGCAGCCCTGCCTGCAGAGGTGGAGGGCAGGGGGGACGTGGGACAGCGTGTGCCCTGCGTCCCCGTGCAGCCTGTGCCCTGCGTCCCCATGCAGTGTGTGTCCTGTGTCCCCATGCAGCCTGTGCCCTGCGTCTCCATGCAGCCTGTGCCCTGTGTCCCCGTGCAGCCTGTGCCCTGCGTCCCCATGCAGCCTGTGCCCTGCGTCTCCATGCAGCCTGTGCCCTGTGTCCCCGTGCAGCCTGTGCCCTGCGTCCCCGTGCAGCCTGTGCCCTGTGTCCCCGTGCAGCCTGTGCCCTGTGTCCCAGCATGGTTTGTGCCCTGTATAGCTGCATGGCAGTGCCCTGCATCCCTGCAGGCTGGGCAGCTCTGCCCCAGCCTCAGAGGGATCGACCACCTGGGAGCACGCGTGGGGAAGCCCCGTGGGGAGCCGAGGGCAGGGGCGTCGTGCTGCAGTGTCTGGCTGAGGGACCAGAGCTGTCCGCAGGGCATGCCATGCCTGCGCCGAGCTGTGCCAGCTGCTGGTGCTGCCAGGAGCCGCCCCGAGCACATCAGAGACAGAGCTTCCCCTTCTGCCTGATGCTCCTCGGGGCTGGGGCTCGCCAGAGCTGCCTGGGGAGAGGTGAAGCCGCTCTGGGCAGAGCTGCAGCCCCCCAAAGCCCCCGTGTGCGGCTTGGGCAGCCCTGGCCCCTCCGCTCACCCTCTGTGCCTGCAGTGGCACCAGCCGCACGTGGCTCCTGCCGAGGGGAACCCGCCTGCCCGCAGAGCTGCGGTGGAGGTGAGGGTCCACGGCTGCCCCGTCCCGGGGAGGGGGCTGCCATGGGGCGCGTGGGTCTGGCAGGGCCGCCTCGCGCTCCAGTGGTGGCAGATGGCAGGATGTGCTGATGCTGGGATGTTCTTCGCCATCTGTTGGGTCTAATTGACTTCCTGCAGAAGTTCCTAAAAAAAATTAAACCAGTTGCAAGAACAAAATTGTTAATTAAAAGGCCTTTTGATTAGATAGACAAATATTTACCAATTATGACTGACCCCGGCTACTCTATCTTATGTTTGCAAACTCCACAATCAGCAGTTATCTCAGCAATTACGTCTGCGCCGGCGATTCCCCCACGCAGTTGTCCCCTGTGGGTGTCCGTGCAGCGGCGGGCAGGAGGAGGGAGCCCAATGCTGCTGAGGACGGGTGAGCTGCCCCGCTGCACCCCAGGCACGGCCACATGCCAGCCCGGCCGCATCCCCACCGGCGCTGCGCAGGCGAGCTCCCTCCGCCAGCCTCACGGCAGATGGCTCCACACTCCAGCCCCAGCGTCCTCCCCTGGGTCTGCTGCTGGTCCCCAGGCAGGACAATTAGGCTCATGTTGCTCCATGCACCATGAGGACGCAGCCGAAAAGCTGTCTCTGCTTTTGGGGAGGCTCGGCACACGACAGGGCTCCTTGCCCAGCCTCAGGGCAGGGGCTTTGCTTCCCGTGGCCAGCCCCCCCGTGGCCTCTCCCACGCCTGGGCAGGGGGTGCCGGGGGCCGTGCCGGCTGCCTGGGACCCTGCTGCTCCACCCAGCCCTGCTCGCAGGCCACCAGAGCAGCCCGTGGGACACAGCAAATCCTCCTCCCCCCCGCACCCTGCCAGCACCCCACGGCCAGAGGCTGCGCGACGGGGAGCCTGTGCCCACCCTTGCATCCGCCCGTCTGTGCCGATGGGTCCCGGGCACGGCCCTGCCCATCGCCCACGGAGCTGCCCAGGGGCCGGACTGGAGCCACCGTGGCCTGTGGCACACCAGCCCCCCATCCGCAGAGGGGACGTGTGCGGTGGCACCGTACCGAGGGGTGCGCTGGGAGGGAGTTGGGGGGGGGGGGGCCGCACCAGCCGTGCACTCCCAGGGTGGGACATCGGTTTTAATGTGGTAAGAAAATGATGGATGATTCTGAGCGAGCCAATGTTCAGTGTAAATTACCCATGTTAGGCTCCAATCCGTGGCTAATTCATTAGACACACGTTTCTACACAAAAATAAAAAGCCTTCTGCATGCATTGTTCACCAAATGCTCTAAAGAAAAGATGTGGGGAGGCAAGGCAGGCTCTTGACCCACTCTTCTGGTTAAATCCTAATTCCCAGCCTCTCTGCTCCCGCCGCAATGAGTGGGAGCGGCTCCAGCCCAGCCGTGCAGCCTGCCAGGGGAGCACGACCAGTGCCTGGCCATCCCTGGAGCCCGGCCGGCCGTGGGGCTCAGCACCTCCCGCAGACGGAGGGGACAGGGCGGAATGCATGGCATGGGGGGCACCAACCACCGGCTCCAGCAGGAGAACAAACCCTGGGCATCAGAGCCCACAGAACGCTGCGATGGCTGTGAAGGCCCATTCCCATGATCTAGCACCATTTAGAGTCTTATTAATGGAGTGGGAAAGCTAATTGTGATTAAAGTAACGATGGTACTAAACAGATAATTCTGCACTGAAGGGCAAGATAGATTTTTTAAAAGTGAATAAAAAGGAAAAGACAGAGTAACCGGTCTTTAAAAATACAGAGATCAGTAAGTGAGGATTCATTTTTTTATTAGCACAGGGATCTCAGGGGAGGCATGCATCTGCATCCCCAGTGCCTGAGACTGCACAGCTCTTAATAAATGGCACGCCAGCAATGCTGGGCCTGCCCGCTTCATTACCATGACTACTGCGCTCTGCTTTCACAGAAAACTAAATATTGAACAGAGAGCAGGTGCACAGAGGATCCCAGCCCTCCTATGCCACCAGCACAGTCTCCGTGGGCAGCCGCAACCCCCGGGAGGGAGCATCGGCTGTGGGGCTGTGGGCCAGGCGAGGCAGCGAACGTCCCCATCCTGCACACCCGGCCGCAGGAGCCTTCGCACCGGAGCCGGGGGTCAGGGACCCGGCCAAGCCCTGGGCGATGGCATCAGCAGGACACCCTTCTCCAGGGAGTTTAAACTTACTGCCTGAGCAGAGCAGAGCTCCTTTCCCGACCAGCAGCGGCAGGGAGAGCCCAGCTGGGACGTGACTGTGCGCTGACAAGCCCTGCAAAGGCTGCAGGAGCCGGACCCTTCCCAGCACTGGGCACTCTCCTCCCCCGCGCTGGCCGTTTCGCTGTGCCTGCCTGCGGTGGGGCAGCTGCAGGGCACCCGGTGCACCCCAGGGATGGAGGGGACACCGTAGAGACGCCCTGTACCCAGCCTCCCTGCGGGGCTTGGCTGCTGACTTTAGCAGACCCCAGGGCATAGAACCTCAGCAAACGTCCCACGGCTCCTTCTTCCCGCAACGACTAGCACAGGAGGCAGCAGCGAAGGAGTCTGCGTATCAGGACTGCTGGATGATATTGCTTTCATAAATAGATGGCAGGCAAGCGCTCAAGGTAAGCAAGGCAGGCGAGCCCAAGTCTCAGCACGGCTCCTGCCTGCAAACAGCCTTCGCCTCCTCTCACATTTCAAGGGCTCCCCAGGGCCCATCTCTGGCCAGTGGCTACTGGACTCCTGCTCCCTGGCTGCCTCCGGGGCATTCTGCTCCCCGGTCCTCTCCCACCCTCACTGTGCATTTCTGTTCACCCCTCTAAATGTTCTAATACTGTAAAAGATCCATCAGAAACCTTCCACTCCAGAGGGATATATATTATCTAAATTTGATAAGACAACTTAATTTCTCTCCGTGTCTGTTACTGGCGATAAAACTGGGAGACTTTTATGACCCGGAGTCCTCTGTAAGATTGTCAGGAACTTATTATACAAGGTATAACTGGATTTCTCTCCACAGATGGCTCGCAGCCATGAGCTGTAACGCAATTCTGCAGCACATTTGGTAGAATAAATGCAAAGAGCTTGTTACAGTGAGTTAGATAAGAGAGACGGGAACACGGCTCTCGCAGGCTAATTCGGCATCTGATCTGCCTTTTCCCTCGCTGTGAAGGACGACTTGGAAAAGTGCATTTCATGCTGAGGAAGGAGCCGAGCCCTTCCCAGGGCCGCCTGGGCCCAGCACGGCAGCCGGCGCGGTGCGCTCGCAGGACGGGACCGGCGGCCGCAGCGGAGCCCCCTGGCCCCTCGCCCCGCCGCAGCCGTTTCCCCAGCAGAGCCCTGCAGGTGCCTTCCCACGCGGCGGCGAGGGACGGCGGGTCCCTCTCGAGGCCCTCACGGCAGGCTCATCCGTTATAGTTATCACACAGCCCATTCGGGCTCTGACCAGATAAAGACTGGTGATTTTTTATTTACTGATTTTTTATTTCAGCATCCTGTGGGCAGGATGCCATGTAGCATACTCATTTATCTCAATTTGCTCCCTCCCACCTCCCATCCCTAATTTTTCAGCAGAGCCTTGGAGGTGAAAGCCTTATCTATGTGGCTCTCCTGCACACGGAAAGCAATCGTGGCCTCTCCTTGTAGGGGCCCTGACGGGGCTATTTGCTGTCGGAGCAGTGGTTACATGGACTGGAGATGCGATCGGTCCCTCTGCAGCTGCATGTGGCCCCAGGCTGAGACAGACCCTGCGCTGCTGTGCTCAGGGCTGCAGCGGGGCTCATGCATGGGGCTGCAAAGGCTCCCAGTCATGCAGCAGCTCCCCGACGACTGTCCCTGGACAGCAAATACTGCCCCAAGCTCAGCCCGTGTTACACCAAATGGAAACCACTGAAACCACTCAGCCGGTGACAGCATCTTCCTCTCGTGGGGGGTTCTGGCTGCCCGCTCTCACCTGCCCCATGGGGCTGCAATTGCGGGCACGGGCCCCCGCAGCCCCCCAGCCCTGCACCCCCATGCACACTGGTTCCCGGAGCATGCGCTTCCCGGGCCATTTTTCCCATTTGGGAGAGCAGCACTGGTCCCCAGCCCTCAGACCCCGTGGGGCACAGCAGGGCCGGGAGCCTGAATCAGAGCTGGGGCTGTAGCACAACGTGGCCACATTAACGCTGGGCGAAATATGTTGTTATGTGCATCAGGTTTTGTAATGGAACATGTTTAAAATTCAATAGAAAGAAAGATTAAAAAATAAGTTTCTTATCTAAAGGAGCCATAGAGCCAGTAAGGAAATTATGAATGTCTCGTTGTCCAAGGTTAAAGAGTGAGAGCTGAGGCATGAAAAGGCAGGAGATAAGATGAAATGTTTTCTGTTCAAATGAATGGGCTCCACTCTGTTCCGTAATAAACGATCAGTGTCAATATGACAAATTAATTCTGCATTGAGCTCCATTCAGTGTGTGCGGCGGGGGGGGATCAGAGTGGTAGAGTCCTGGCCACAGCCTCCGTCACCAGATCCACGCCAGGTCCACACCAGACCCGTGCTGCAGCGAAGCTGGGACTGTACAACCTGCTGCTCCGGGAGAATCTCCCAGAGGGTGGCGAGGAGAGGCCCCCACGGCCCCGGCAGCCACCCTTGCCCTTGGCCAGGGGCTGCAGCCCGGCTCTGCTGCCCCTCTCCAGGGCTGATGGAGGGGGGGGGGTGCCCTGGGCCCTGGCCACGGGCTGCGGGGCGCGGTGGGGGCTGCAGCCACCCCTGCCCATGGGGAGAGGGGGACCGTGGCAGGACCCCAAGGACGAGGGGACAGGGATGACGCGTCCCGGGCTGGCAGCTGCAGTGGCTGCAGCAGAGCCGTGCCAGCTCGAGGAGCTGCTGGCAGAGCAGCCAGGTGACCCCGCGGAAGAGATTGGACCTTTTAAAAGAGACAGTGACAAATGACGCTCCCTTCCAGCTCGAGGAGCGGAGGAAGGGGGCAGGGAGGCGCTTCCAGGAGCTGCAAGCTGAAGGTCACCCAGGAGCCAGATGCTGCTGCCGTGGGGCGAGGGGGGGCCTGGGAGAGGACGTCGCAGGGTGGGAGGGTGCGAGCAGGAGGGGCTGGTGAGTGCGGGACCCGGACGGGCAGTGCCAGAGGTGCAGGCAGCAGCAGGAGGAGACGGGGAGCAGGAGCCATCCCCACCCTGGGAGAGGATGGGCAGGGAGCTGGGGCCTGTGGGCGATGTGGGTGATGCTTCTGAGCACTGCGGTGTGTGCCCGGAGCCGTGATCCAGCCCGGGGTGGCTGTGCCAGACCCACCGCGGTCCTGCCTGAGCCCCCACGCTGGCGAGTGATGCTGCAGCGACTCATTTCCCGCTGACGAGCAGTGAGCCCGGGGACAGGAACACAGCTCCTTGGAGTGAACCAGCCACCAGCCCTGCCGCTTTCCGGGCACCATTCCTGCCAGAGAGCAGCCTCCAGCCGAGCTGGTGCTGGAGCTGCCCGGCGGAGCAGGAGCTGGTGCAAAGAGCTGTGCTGCTCTGCGCAGGGCGAGGACGCTGTGCCAGGCCAGCGGATGCCAGGGGAGGCACGACCATGACAGGAGATTTTATTATTCACGGGAGATCCTTAGCACAAGACACACTCTCGCAGAAGACAAATCACAGCTGACACCGAACACTGTTGCTCAGTGTTTATCTCCACGTGCCTGAGGGCAAGAGCAGGTGAAGTTACAGGAGACACGGGAGGGAGCCGAGCTGCCGCAGCCCCGTCCTGCCCCAGCGCCGGGCTCACACACCACCAGCCTCTGCCCAGCAGGTCAGGCGCGGGCAGGGACGGAGCAGGGCTTTGCCCTTGTGCTGCGTGGGCAGACATCTCCACTGCTACCGTGGGGCAGGGCCGGCTGCTGCTAACGAACCAGGGGGCTGCCCGCCTGGAGCCCCTGGGGACGCAGCCACACATCGGGGACAGCATTTGCGAGGACGGGTTTCCTCTGCAGGTCCCAAGCAGGATGGGTGCTGTGGTGGTCAGCAGAGCCGGGTGCCGAAGCTTCCTCTTGAAGCACAGCAAGAGCTCCCATATCGTCACCCATCTGCCCCAGGAGGGGACAAGCAGCTCTGCTCATGCCGCAGCGTTCCCCCTTGCTGCAGCGCTGCAGGACAGTGTGGGGCCAGGGGGGCTGCGGCAGCCGGGCTGCAGGGCTTGCTCCTGGAGAGTTAACAGCCTTCCCCATCTTGTTCTCGAAACACTGACGCTCGTGCTGAAATGGAAACAGCATCTCAACAGCTGACATTAAAACAAGAAAATGAGTATAGAAATGATGTTTGTTAAAGCGAAATAGCTAATATAATCCTCAAAGGGTTCTTCCTTTTGACTTAAAAAAAAAAAAAAATCTAATATCTTCATTTCCATACCTTTTTTAAGCTAATTTGTGGAAAATTAAAATGGTGAGCCCACAAAGGCTGTAGTTTAATTGAATCTTGCATCAGCCCTTGGTGAGCAGTCTCTCTTGGATTCCTTGATTAGTTCCCTCCATTAAATCATTTTTGCATCGTTTAGCTGAGATACTGTCTTCTGGCGGGTCTGGGACTCAGGGACCTGGATAACTCAGTCTCCGTCTGAGCAGATACAAAACGACACGCCATGCTCTGGAGAGCGTCTTATTTGGCCTCCTGCGCCCAGGGGACTCTCCCCGTGCCTCGCTGGCCCCGGCCGGCAGCACTGTGTGGGGCTGAGCCCGCCGGCGCTGCGCCAGCCGGGGCTCAACGCATCCGCGGGTGCCGGGTGCCCCGGCGCTGGGTGCGGGCACTGCAGGACTCGCACGGGGAGCAGCCCGAGCGAGCTCAGCAGCGGTGGGATGGGGGGCAGCAGGAGCAGGGGGAGCGGGGGCAGCGGGGGGGGCCGGGGGAGCAGAGAGGGCATGCTGGCCTGGCCGTGGGGGATGCGGGGTGCAGTAAGGACCAGAGCGTGACATCCTGGCATGGGAAGTCCTTCTGCTCACCCTGCCTGGCAACACCCCATGCGCGAAGCTGCAGGCACTGGGCCCAGCAGAGTGCCGGTCCTCAGCACGGGGCACATGTGCAGGATGCGGCCGCAGCACAGGGAGCCATGTGAAGTTCACCTTATGTCTCTCCCAGATGAACATCCCCTCTCTCTAAGTGCAGATAAATTACACCTACCAGGGACAGCACATAACTTAGTGGAAAGAGCATGTACGTCCTCCCTGTCCCAGGGCACAACATCGCAGCAGGGACAGAGCCACTAAATCTATCTGAAGGCAGCAGCAGCGGCGGCACACCAGGGCAGCCAGCATGGCTCTGGCCCAGCAAGCCACATCCCAGCAATGCCGGCCGCCCGACTCTGCCCCGCTGTGCCACGGAGATGCGGGTGCTTGATGAGCCAACTATCTCTTGCGCATCCCCCAAGCAACTCTGGCACCTCTCCCTGCCCCAGCCATGGTGCACATGTTTTCTGATGGCCTTGTCACGCTATCATGTCCTGTAGATTTAAACAGATTTATATAAAGTCCTTTTCACCCCATTAGATTACTCTGGATTAACCTTGATCTCAGTAATAGATGCTATAAATGTAAGACCCGCTCAGGGGGATTTTATCCATATGTTCTTGGAAGGCAGAAAGTAGATAAATTCTTAGAGAAGGTCTTATTGAGTGATTAGAAAGATTTAACCTCTTCAGAGCCAGCCGGAGCCATGTGCCCCTCTGTGGGGTGAGTGCTCAGCCCCACTGCCTCAGGCAGCAACCCCCATCCCGTCCCCAACCCTACCACCCCTGGCCCTGGGCTGGGGCACATCCTGTGCTGCCTCTTGGAGGGGGGGGACACAGCGTGTGGTGGGATGCTGGTGTGACACTGCTGCTGCGTGGGGCCACCCCCGCCGGTGAGCTCAGCCTGCCCGAAGGGGCTCTGGAGGCATCCCTGGCCGCTCAATCCTCCCCCGAGGGATGCTGACGTGTGCAGGCAGGGCACACCACTGGCCAGCCGTTCTGCGGTAAAGCCTTGACTGCAGCCGAGCGAGAGTCCCACAGCAATGTCCTCTTGCATCCCTCAGCACTGCGGGGGCCCTGGAGTGGATGGTTAACAACAAGCACCCCAGCTCTGCTGGCAAGTCCTGCACAGCCTCTTCAGAGCCAGGGGCTGCCTGATGCTGCTGCTGCTGCTGCCCTTGATCTACAGCCTCTGGTTTCAGTGAGAGCTTCATGCTTTTTCCATCAACAGAAGGGAAAAGCCTGTTGGGCAAACTGCAGTTCTTTCAGTGTTCGATGGCTGAGAAACAGTTAATTCAAGGAGTGATGAAGGCAGGGTGAGGAAATTCAAGCAGCTGTGAGAGCAGAGGAAGGAGGGAGCCAGCACGCTGTGCGCAGCACTACTTGTGCACCCGCAGGTGTGGCCTGAAGGGGTGGCATCAACCAAAATTAATTCTCCATCCCTTCCTGCTGCTGATATTAAATTGCTGTAAGCGCGGGCTAGAGCCAGAGCCAAGCTCAGATCTTCCAGGAGAGTTTGGCCAGCAAGTTGCCTTCTGCTTGCTGATCGGAGAAGAACCTAACGGAGGAAGAGAGTTTGGCACTGGGCTGGGCTGCAGGGAACTGGCCCTGCTGGAAGCTGCAGCGATCACGCAGACTGTGCAGAAGCCAGGAACAAGCTGTTGACAACAGGCAACAGTAATGAAGAGGAGTCAGCTCTGCAAAACTGCGCAGTGCTGCAGACAGTTGGGGTGCATTTGGGGTGGTCTGTGAACACGCTGGCTCCTGGGGAGTTACTGGTTTAGGCTGCGGCGCTGCTGTAGGGCGCTCTCAGTGTTGGAGCTGGAGGGAAGGGCTGGTACCACTGGCTTTGGCTTTACTCTAGCATTAATCACTGACTGTCTATCATTCTCCTGGCAGGGAAGCAGCGGTAGGAAGGGGCTGCAGTTACACCCCTGGCAGCAGAGCTGGGTCTGGCAGGCTTGGCAGTGCACTGCCCATCCCATCTCTCCCAACCTGAGCTGCTCCCCCGGGCCCCGGCAATCCCCGGGCCAGGCTGGCTGGGTTGTCAGCATTGCCTTGCTGGGGCAGCCTGCTGCATGGTGCACGGGGCGACAGTTCTGCAGGATGGGGCAGGCCCCACACAGCACAGCCCACCCCAGGGGGTCGTGGGTCAGCCCAGCTGGCAGCTCCGCATGGCAAGGGTGCGTGCTGGCCCGCACCGGGGTGGAGGCAGGGAGGCTACTGCCCTTCTTCATCAGTCCCCGGCACGGCGGGTGCTGCTCAGCAAGGTCTCCTTGCAGCATGCCACAAGCAGGGGCTGGTGGAGGTCAGCTGCCACGGTTACACAGAGAACGCAGCCAGGCTCCTGGGAAGGCTGCTCAGTACCAAGCAGCAGACAAAGCTTGAACCCAGCCCGCTGAGGACAAGGACAGGCGTGTGTCCTTCCTGGACTGAGCTGGCAGGCAGGGAGAGTCCTGCTGGGGCTGGCCAGGCCAGGCTGTGTCACAGCCAGTGCTGCCCACGGGGATGCCGACCCCCCTGTGCCCTGTACCTGCCCAGCCAGCAAGCACAGTCCTGCCTGGTTGGGGGACACTCGTGGCACCAGCCTTCAGCCACCGCAGTGGCAGTGTCCCCCCCAGGGCCCCACGAGCCCCAGGCACCATGGACCCGCCGGCAGCAGAGGAGGGACAGGGAGAGCATGCCGCCCACCGCCACTCACCTCCCCTGGCCAGGCTGCACCGGGCAGGCGCCGTGGTACACTTGGCACGCGTGAGCGCTGGAGAAGGACTTGCACTGTTAGCACAGTTTGATGAAAACGTGCACGGTCGGCGGGGCCCTGCAGTCAGGGTCTCCGCCTGATGAGCTGTGGCATGAGGACAGCCAAGCCAATCAAGTTGGCATGAGCAGGAGCTGTCTGCTAGGCAGCAGGCACATGGGATGCAGAGTGACTAATACGTCTGCCCCCAGAGGCCAGCGTGTTCCTTAGTGCATTGACCTCACTGCTTCCCTCCCTTGCTGGCATCTGTGGTGCAGGTGTAGTCACGCATCTCCCCAGGGAGGGGAAGCCTCATGTCCCTCGGATCAGCCAGGGCCCATGCTCTGTCCTGGATCTTCTCCTGAGACAAGACACATTTCCTATGCTGGCTTGTATGTCCCTCTGCAGAGCTACATCCTTCCCCACACCGCACAAGGACCCTGGCCAGGCACAAAGCTAGCTTTGCATGACAGTGTGTGCTGCTGGGCTCTTCTAAGCTCAGAGGAGAAGCGGCTGGTGACTGCTCCCCCATAACCATCAGTGGGATCAGGGCATGCTCCAAGCAGCTCTGGAAGGAGAACCTCTCTTGACAGCCTGCTCCTTGCTGCCTCCCGAGCAGCCCTGCTGACTGCTGCACAGCACCGTGGTAGTGCCGGCTCCTGCCTTAACGCTGCTGCCGCTGTGAATTTGCAGAGCATCAATGCGTGCTCTGACCCACGCCAGATTCCCTCTGGGGAGGCTTGTCTCTCCGGAGGGTGGCTCTGCGGGCTGTGCCATGCTGCAGCTCTCTTCCCAGCCAACCAGACTACTCTGCACGCCCAGCCGAGCCCACGGCTGGCTCTGCCCGCACCCTCAGCATCGCTGGCCTCCCCCCATCCCTCCGGGCTTCCTGCACACTGCTGCTCGCTGGACCTCTCCTCAGGATGTGGCTGCCGTGGCCATCGCCAAAGTGCTGGGGTGTGCCAACCCCTGCACGGAGCCGGCGAGAGCCGCAGAGCCCTTGAGACACACCCAGGCCCACTGGTGCTCACAAAGCGTGGTGGCCACGGGCAGCGCGGGTGATGTGTGGATGCTCCGGCTCACAGGGAGCAGCCAGGGCAGGCACAGCACCGGCCTCGCGCCCACAGAGGCACCGGGTCACCAGCAACAGGGAGCACAGAGAGCCCCGGCCAAGGGCGACGCAGTCCCAGGCTGCGCTGTCCCCAACCACTGCCTCCAGGTGCCAGGGTTTGTCCTGCTGTGCTCCCCCTCCCAGGGGGCCAGGAGGTCTTACTGAGACATACAGAAATTTTGCCTGCTGCCATGAGCTGTCACCTCCGATTCTGCTGAATATTTAAAAACCGCCTGAATCTGAAGTGACAAATCCATCATTGACCATCTGCCACTCTGCACGGTCACCCTGCAGCAGTCCCTGACATTTCCAGCTCTGCCCTGACACGAGCCAGTAACTCGGAGATGAAAGGCATCAGCCTCAGCAGGCTGACTGGCGCTGCCCTCCGCCAGCCCCAGGCCCCTCTGCATGCCACGCAGAAGGGACAGCCGGGGTACAGGGGCCCCTCCTGCCCCTCCCCAGCACAGACTTGGTGACCGTCTGCTGATTCCTGCTGAGCATGAGGCTCCATGTGTGCTGGCCCCACCACCAGCACAATCTGTGGAACAGAGCCCAAGGGACACCCCGCTGAGGGCATCACTGCCCCCAAAGCCGGCTGGGAGCAGCATCCCAGCCACCCCTCAGAGGGGTGCCGTCCCTGGGGACAGGGTCTGCTACAGGCCCCGTGGGCAGTGCTGTGCCCACCTGCACCTGTGCCATGGGTCCCCCCCAGCACATCCAAGCACGTGAGGCTCCAGTGCGGGGTCCCCAGAATCCTGTCCCACCCCAGGGCTGTGCAGGAGCCCTGCCACATCCCCACCACGGGACGGAGCAGCCAGGCTGCCACCCACTCTGCACAGGGACCCAGGTGGGCGCCTGCTTGTGCACAAAGGACAACTCACCCCAGGGTCCCCTCCCCGTTACCTGGCTGTGCCTGTCCTGTTCACTCCAGGCAGATCAGCATCAGCGCCCTGCAGACCCGCAGCTGCCTGGTATGGCGGCATGGAACAGGCTGCTTTGAGGCAGGGTCATTCCCAAGAAAAGAGCAAATGTTAATTGCCACTCATCCCCTTGGCAGCAAAACACTCACAGCTCCTCTGCTCAGCTGTGGCAGCTCCTGCACGGTGAGCTGACACTGAGCCCCGTCCCTCCCTGCCACCACAGGCACGGTGCAGAGGGGGTTCTGTCACTGTGAGGTGCTCTCCCCCCCCTCCTGCTCCCCAGACTGAGTACAGGAGGAGCGTTACATCTACCAGCTTTCCAGCAAGGCTGCTGCACCCTGGAAACCTGGTTTGGGGCTCCATGACCGAGGCATTTTGTGGCACCACTCATCCCGGGGCCTGGAGCCAGCAGCAGTCCTGGCACCGTGGGCCAAGCCCCAGAGCCCCAGAAGGGAGTGGGGGCTGCCCAGGAGCTCTGCCGGGCACCCAGAGTGCTCCCAGTCAGGCAGCCCAGGGCACCCAGAGTGCTCCCAGTCAGGCAGCGTGGCTTCCAGCCCCTGCGGCCCCAGGAAGGGCCAGCAATGCCTGCCACGGCAGCTGTGCCGGGTGCCCGCAGAGCTGCTCCTGGCAGCCCTCCCGCAGAGGAACGGTGCCACAGCAAGCCCACGGGGCTCCTCACCACCTCTGCTGTATCCACAGCAGCCTGATGGGCTGGGGGAGCGGGCCCACGTGCCAGGAGACCCCACGGGGGATGTTGGGGGCCGTGGCCCTACACCTCCAGCTTGGCTCAGGCCCCGAGCAGAGACAGCAGGGCTGCAGGAGAGCTCCCGCCTGCCATTCGCTCCGTACTTGTAGCTGGCACAGAGCTGCAATTTACAATCAACCTGCTGTTTGAGCTAATTGTGCTGTAATTGCTGAGCTGTGCTCCCTCCCATTTCACCAGAGAGTGGCAGTTCTTACACTCCTCTTGGCAAGCCAGCACATCCCACGGTCAGCCCCACTGCTCAGCCCACTTGCCTCCCACCCCAGCTGTGCACCCGGCAGAAGCAGTTTTCCTTCACGCCCTCTGCCAGCAAACACCACCTCCCCTGCCTAGAAGCTGCTGGTCCCTATGAGCCCCCCCTGGAAGCAGTTGCTGGAGGGCACAGGGTGACCAGACACGGCCATGCCGCGTGATGTGCAGACGGGCAGGCGCAGGGCACCTCCAAGAGATGCCTCTGCCTCCCTGGAAAGCACCTTGCCAATGTTTCCTTTTGATCAGATAGAATTGTGCAAAGGGAGGAGCAGAGCAGACAGCACTTGAGTCTGGGGGACCAGCAGGATGGGGCCTGGGGTGCCCACTGTGCTACTGCAAGGTGATGAGCTAGGGAGCGCTAAGGGAGCGAGGTGCCGGGTTATCAATTGTCACTAAAGGACACCCACTGGAGGGGCTGGGCTGGATCCCAGCAGCTCCCTGTCACTCCCCCGTGCTGACATCGCTAAAACTTGCACATCCTCTGTGCTATTTAAAAATCCCATCTTTAATAACTCAGAGACATCAGGAACCTGCAGGACAGGCACAGAGGGACACGAAGCACGAAGGGGACAGGTGCAAGGGGAAGCCGGTCCCTGGAAAGCGGGGGGGCTACAGGCAGCCTGGCCCCGAGTGCGCCAGCGGGTGGCCCCCGGGCTCGGTGGCCCCCGGGCTCGGTGCCCCCCGCTGCACCCCGGGGTCGCCGCCGGGGCCGGTGCGGGGTCGCGGCGGGGCAGAGCCGGCAGCACCGCAGGCAGTGCCGGGCCCGGGGGGGCGGCGGGGCGCGCAATCAGCGCTAATCAGGTAGCTCGCTAATTGCTGGGCCTCCTGCGGGGCGGTGATGGCTGGTTGGGCCCGGCGGCTCTGCCGCAGCGGGCGGGCGGGGGGGCGGCTCCGGCTGCGCCCCCGGGGCCCTGCCCGGCGCATCCTCCCCGCATCCCGTCCGGGGCAGGCGCTGCGCCTTCGGTCTCATCGCATTTTTAAAGAACGAGCGTCACAAACTCACAAACACGCTGTGATCCTTCCAAGCGAAAATGGTTCTAAAGGGCAATTTTTGCCGAGAAATCTTGCTCCTCTTCCATAGCCCAAGAGCTTTTCTCCAAGTTGCGTGTTTCCCAGGCAGTGCTGCGGTGTGGTCCCAGCGGTAAGCGTGCGTGGGGCCGCATCCTGTCCGTCCGGTGTCCCCGCGGGATGCCAGGCGCGGGAGGCAGGCCAGGCCAGCCGGGTGCTGAGGGGCATCGTGCTGCTGCGAGGAGCGCGCTGCCCGGGCAGAGGGTCCTGCCCTGCACACGCTGCTGGACCGGACGGACACAGCCCGGCCGCAGAGCAAGCTTGTTCCTTCACACACATCTCCATCTCACAGGCTGGGCCCAGTGTAAATTCCTACCATAATCACTCTGAGACCTATCAAACTATCTAATTTAATTTCTTTGTGAAAATAAATAGCTAAAGTGGCCCTAGGTACATGCATAAATACTTCAGCTTTATGTTGGGCCTGTTATTACTTCTCCCAGCTTGTGTAGTTGTAATGCACACTTAATAAGTACATATTTATTGCACGTCTTGTCCTGGTGGAATAGTGAGGAGTTTTTGCTGAATAAGCAGGAAAACAGCTTAGTCTGTAATAAAAAAGGAGAGAGTTAAAAGAAAATATGCTAGGTAATTAATGATTGGGCTTTGAACAGCCGTAATTTTTTATTAAGCAAGTATGCAACTATGGCGTAAGTGGCTGTGTTATTATTCAATTGCTTTTTTAAAACACTGATGGCTGATCTCTGGTAAGACTACCTCTCCTTTTCTTTATGCCTGTCTGCAGAGAGACATGATGGTGAGCAAACACGAGGGTTGCTGCGTGTCTGTGCGGGTATGTGAGTGTACACAGGGAGTGCACATTGCTCGTGTGCAGCCCTGCCCGGTGAGTGCACACGTGGCCTTGTGCTGCTCCCAGGGTCTGCACAATACACTGCCTTATCTTCCCCCTCACCTGCTGTCATTCACTGTCTCTGTCTTTCTGCTGCTTGCTTTGCCTCGCCTATACATTTGTTGCATCCTTCATTAATCCCGATAAAGCTGTGGATTAGTGAAACACAGGGCTGGGGAGACTTGGCTGAGAGAAGCAGCTCCCAGGATGCTGCCACCACTGAGCTTCTAGCGCCCCGTTCCCACTCCCGCTGGCCAGCACGGGCACCCATCGGGCTGCCCAGCTCCAGCCGGGTCCCTCCCGCAGCCCCTGGGACAAGGTCTTGCTGTGTGCTCAGCACCCATGGCTGTGGAGAGGGGACAGCAGACATCCCTGGAGCACAGGACAGGCAGGGAGAGGGACGGTGGGCTCCTGGGGTTTCTCCCAGAGCTCCATCCTTCCTGTGAAGCCTACAGCAGCCCTGTGAAGCCGCAGTTTCCCACGCAGAGCTGCTCCATCCCCGAGCACCAGCGCCACAGCTACGCAAGCCAGGACAGGCACATAGGTGACAAAAAGTTACTGAGCCATGACCGAACCAGCCTGAGCTACTGCTCCTCCAGTTACCAGAGACGGCTGTGCCCCAGCAGACCCTGAGGCACGGTGGGGCAGTGCGAGGGGCTGACATGGGCTGCACGAGCATTCGGCTGCCCCTTCTCTGTGGGGAGGTCCCCAGGGTGTGACTGTCCTGGGCTCCAGGGGCAGGAGGGGCCATGGCAGCACCACGGGCGTCCCAGCCACAGCGGCCGATCAGGGCTCTTGGGGCTGCGGATGCTGCCGTACAAGGGAGCCCCAGAGCCCACGGGGGCTGCCCGCGAACAGCCCAAGGAGGCTTAACTCCGCAAATGAGTCCTGCTGCTCCGTGGTCGGAGAAAACGGCTCGGTGGAGCAGTTTTTGACACAGTGATCTGTAGCTCACTCCCTGGGGAGAAGACCCCGAGCCCCCTCCCCACTGGAGCAGCAGGGCAGGGGAAGACACCAGCTAGCGAGGACAGCTGGGTTGCAGGAGTGCCAGGGCCATGGCAAAGCACACAGCGACGCTGGCAAACAGCGAGCTGATCTCCCCATTAGCCCTCATTAGCACGTGGCTGAAAGACAACATGAGTTTAAATTAAGAAGACATCACAATGGTCCCAACTGTGTTACCGCTGTGCTCAGAAAGAGCCCGACAGCTGCTATTTAATATACCTTCATGATCTGTCAGGGCATATGCACGCTGCACAGTGTAGAGTCTGTGCCTCAGCGCACACGTGCTTCTGCATGGCTGCACGCCTCCACACGCAGCCAAGAGCACCTGCGTCCACACGTGCCCACGGCTGTGCCGGCGTGTGCGGGGGGACGGGGGGACGGGGGGGCAGGACACCACGCTCAGCCCTGCTTCCCCGTGCTGCCAGCCTGGCCCAGGACACGGCGGTGCGGGTCTGCTGCTGGCGCAGGCGGGTGTTCCTCCATCACCGGGACCCCTTGCTATGGCTCCGTGCGCACCTGCGTGCTGGGCAACAGGGGTGTGCCCCACGCTCGCCTCCGCTTGTGGCCGCGACGTGGCTCTCGCACGGGTGCTCACCTGAACCCCCCGGTGCTCACCTGAACCCCCGGGAGCCGCAAGGCACCTGGCAGAAGCCTCCCTGCGGGCTGGCGGAGCCGAGGGGCGTCAGGGCATGGGCTGCTGGGGGGATGGCGTCACGCCGGGATTACTGCTGCCGGCACCGCGGGGCGGTGATATTAGCACTCAGTATTTATACTGCATGTTCCCAACGTGATGCTTGCTAATGACTCCCACTGACACGGGGGAGCTGGTGGCTGTTATGAGAAAGGAGAAAAGAAGCAACTTGCTCGTGGGCACAGAGGGAGCCA